CAGCCGGTTTGACACTTAATCTCCACAAAAACAGGTGAACCGGGTTGGTCCACCGCCCAAGCCCGGTTCAGTCACCTTCCCCAAAACTCCATGGATGGGGAACCGGCCTGACCATCTCGGTCCGGGCATGTCTAAGGCCTAAACTGGCTAGGTCAATGCGGACTGGGCCGAACCGGCCTAGTTAACGCATGATAGACTCGGATGCCTTCTGGGTCTGTCATTCTCGCCTACAAAACCTGGGTTGCAGACTCGGGTGTCTGCAACATACTCGAACATCCCAACACCCAAAAATCTCACAAAACTCAACTTACCCAATTGATTCGAGGCCTTCTAAACCGAATTTTGTGGTCCTCGAGCTCTTTAATAATGTTTAATCGGAGAATTTCAACCGAAAAGCTGAAAATTCCTTAGAAGCTCTATCCCGTGCCAATAGCCTTCCCCCGCTCTCTCTCTTCTCTAACTCACTCTTCTTCCCAAATTGAACACACTCTTAGGTTTGTCTCTCCCCTTTACACAAAATCCCAAAATTTTTTTTGAGTTGCTTCTCTCCTATTAGAGCGAATTTGCTTCAAGGACCTTCGGCCGGTTTCCGGCCAGAGGTTTTGCCTCTGTCCTGATCCAACCCCAACAACTTTCATTTGTCTAAATTAACTCCTCCCCTTTTTTCGGTTAGCCCCAGAACTTTCCAGATTTTGTAAAAATGCCCCAAAACAATTTAATTTCTTCCATTACATCTTTGATTGATTGATTTTTTTTTTTTAAAAATGAAGTCTTGGGCCATTATAGAATTATAAAAATATTTATAAAGAATTATAAATTTTGATTTATGAGTCTGAATTTGGGTAAATAAATATTAATAAAAACTAGTTTACAAAAATTTAAATTTGAGTTTAAACTTAGTTTTAGTACGAGTACGAGTCTATGGTTAAGTACTATAAAATTCTTCCCATTACCGTCTATAGCCCCGCACAGCGGGGAACTTCCCTAAAGTTTCATGATATAAAATTCGGTGGGTGAAAACCCAAACCAGAAGTCAATTCCACCCTGGATTATGAAACAGCACACAGAAAAGTTGTAGGTATTTTCTCGAACCCAACATTCCCTCGGCCCATGGATCGGAGAATCGATATTCTTACATTTAGAACAAGATTTTTGACCGAGGCAAGGTATTAATTCCTATCTGTAACCGTATTTAAATTTAATTTAATCCAATTCATATAAATCCTTCAAAGAATATTATATAATAAATTAAATTTAAAAAGTTAGTATAAATATTTTAAATTATATTATGTAAATTACAGGTTACCTTTTAATGACTCCTCAAACTTTTTCTACTAAAATTTAATTAGAAAGAAGGAAAAATACAAGAATGGCGAAGTGTCGTCACCCTTGTTAGGTACTAGGATGGGTCCCATTCGTCACCCAGAAACCTTTGTACCAAATTCTCCCCATTTAATAAAACAAATAAAAAACACGTTCCATTGGGTAGAGAATAAAGTGATGACTTCCACGTCGGTGAAATCCAAACTGCAACCCTGTTTTTTATCTTTCTAGTTTCTTCAAGAAACTCCTCCCTCCCATGTTTCCGAATCTGTGAGAACATTATATAAACGGCCACAACAACAGGTGGCAAACCCAACTTAGACACCACACACCTTCGTATTAACTTAATTACTTTGCTGGTAAGAGACAGAGATGGTGAAGGCGCGTACAGTTGGAGTAGCCATGGACTGCTCAGCGACGAGCAAATCAGCCCTCCGATGGGCGCTGGACAATCTGATCGGATCCGGCGATACCATCATAGTCATCCACGTTCTCTCCCCAAAATCCGATCCCACGAACAAGCTGCTGTTCGAGGGACACCGGATCACGTTAGTTACTATATTCATGCGTTCTGTTTTCTCATGTATGTAACGATTAGATTGTACTTTTTATTTTTTCTGCCTCTTTGAATTTCCAGCTTTGATTCCTCTGGAGGAATTCAAAGAAGTTAATGTCTGCAAGAAATATGGACTCAACCCCGATCCCGAGGTCCTTGACTTGCTTGATACTTTCTCAAAGACTAAGGATGTATGCCCTCTCTCCATAATCTCTCTCTCTATCTCTTTATGTGTGTGTGTGTATACATACATACATACATACATACATATATATATATATATAAGAATGTATTTATGTGCATGTATATATGCAGGCGAAGGTGAGGGCAAAGATATACTGGGGGGATGCAAGGGAGAAGCTGTGTGACTCTGTGAAAGATCTGAAGCTTGATTCAATTGTTGTTGGCAGCAGGGGCTTGGGAATCATCAAAAGGTAAGCTCCCCCAAAACTTAATTCTCTAATTCGGGAATCTTAGACGACATTCTCTTCTCTGGGTGGTAATTGGACTGATCCTAAGTCCAAACTACGGTTAGGATTAGTAGTTCATTTTTTCTGCTTTCTTTTTCTTTTTTGATTTTTGTTCTTTTTTTTCTTTAGTTTAGTTAAAAATTTAGAGAACAGGCCTTATTGATTTCAACTGATAATCAGTCAATTAGGCACAACCACCCCCACACCCCCCCCCCCCCAAAAAAAAAAGAAAAGGCAACACGTGTTAGCCCCTGAGTCCATATTAAGACTAATAAATATTAATCAAACTTGTTTTAAGGTAATTAATTCATTGATCTGTAGCTAATATCAAATATAAATAGCGAATTTGTAAGAATAAAAAATATCTTTTTCACATGAATATTTTATTAAATTCAAACAAATTATCCAAACGAAATCTTCTCTCTTTCTCTCCCTCTCTCTCTCTCAAAAGCAACTAATTATTGTAAAACAGAAAATAAAAAGAAGGCGGCCTAAAAATCCACAAAAGGCAGCTTCTAAAAAAGATGAATTTTAACGACTTCCAAGTCTTCCCAAGCCCCTTGTTTTACAACGGACTTTATTATAAAAGCCAACTTGTAAGATGACCAAACTCCTCCTAATATTTATGTATATCCTATAATAAAATGAGTGAATTATAATATTGAAACAGGGTATTGCTTGGGAGTGTGAGCAACTACGTGGTGCAAAATGCTACCTGTCCAGTCACTGTCGTGAAGGGGCCACCTTCCTCCAAGCTTCTAAACTAGCTCGCTTCCAGTTCTTGTCTGAACTAGAATTAGCATGCAAATTTAATCGTCGAAAGAAAACAAGAGAAGATAGGCAGCGAATTGAGAAAGCCTGATTGGACAGTGCTTGGGAGCTATATAATTGTGTTTATCTTATTTCTGGGTTTTTCTTATGAGATAGATGTACACGTGTGCATGTAATTATGAGTTTGTCGTTGTTTCACTAATTTGTGAGGTGGATAGCTGTCCTTGTCAGCTTACTATGTCCAAAAGCATTTAAGGAAATGGTAATTAGTCCAATTTAAATGGATAAGAAGACGGAGCCATGGTGATTAAATTTCCTATTTTAAATTGTATTATGCTCTATTTGGAAGGACAATTATAATGGTGGAATAAAATAATGGGAAAATTACCAAGCTAAAAGTGTAGGCAAGTAAGGTCATATTTCGAATTATTCCTAATTTAAGTCAAAAATATAACAGCAACCCATTACAGAGATATATTTTTCCATTATATCTTATTTTGGCTACTCCTTCATCCCCTGCCAACGTTGCCACCTGCTTACGGCTATCCATTTGTAGCCGATCCACTGTCACCGCCCTTTTGCGAGTATCAAAACTTTAAAAATTCCTTTCTGCCCCTCCCCAGTGCTAGTAATCACTTTTTGCCCCTCTTTTTCTTCTTCTTATTTTTTATTGTGAGGCTTCTCTGTACACCTCTCTTTTACCACCGTTGTCTGTTAAAGGCATTGCAATGCCTCTATAGCTATCCCAAATCGAGACCCTAGAGTTTCAATTCATCCGTGTCTTGCAATTGCTTCTAGGGGGCGAATAGAGACCCTAAAAGAATTGCATAAGCAAAAGACACGATCTGGCAATCGCAAACTTCTAAGGTTTCGATATTTGGAAGATAAAATTCGCAGTCATAGAATCTGATGCCAATCACCCTTCTATGATTGTTGTAGAGTCGGGATGCCTCTGCGATTGGGATGCCTCTAGGATAGAAAAGTCTAAGGAAGGGGCACACAAAGAACCCTCACGATGAAAAAGAAGAAGAAGGAGAAGAAAAAAAATAAGGGCAATTGATAGCAGTGGAGAAGGGCAATGGTCGTTGGGGAAGGGCGAGCAGATGCCATAGTGGAAGGGGCATCTACAATTGCGATACCTGCAGAATATGGCTTGCAGGGGAGGAAAGGCAATGGAAGGTGAGCAGTAATGGTGGGCAAGCGATGGAGGGGCAACTGGATTAAGGATAAAGGGAAACGTAAATGCCTTTAATGAGGTAATTTTAAGAGTTTTGACTTGAATCGATTATAATTTGAAATTTGGTCTTATATTTTCACAAGCCAACCAACTAAATAAATTTCAATTGAAAGTGTTAACTTTTTTTCACAAATAACATCAATTTTAAGAAACACGCGGATTGACATTTTAGATTAATTTTCATTAATTTTTATGACTTTTTAACCATTTAAGTTGCTAAAGTTATCTAGCTTTCTTTAAAAAAATTTAAAATGATTATTCAAAAATAATAAATCTAATTGATTCTCACGATTTCTTATTATTTTCTCAACTACTCACTCTTGCTACCCACTCTATCATTGCCAAACTTATTAATTGTGCATAGAAACTAATGATTTTATGTCACACCTCACCCTTCTTGTTTGATTGAATTGTTTGATTGAGTGAGATATGATAGCGGAGCAATAGCCAACATCTTTTTGTATATAAAAGACGAGTAAACGTTGATCACTGTAACCCCTACCATGACTGGTTCAATCAGTATAACTTGTAACACTTATGTAACACTGTGTATATCTATTACATGATAATAACTACACGTACGAATCTATCATGATCATACATTAGAAATAAACTATATTTTAACTCTTCAAATCATCTAGTATAATAATATATCTTCAGTAATACAATTAATAATCAACCAAGAATTGTCTCGCCTTATACAATTGTCTTGCCTTAGAAATAAGACATAAAATGGAATCTCTTGGCCCAACCTTTACTAAAATGCATGAAGTGCCAATGTAGTAATGCTGATACTACTATCATTAGCTAAGTCTTCTCGGTATCTACATGGAGAAGGAGTCGTGAAACTGTTATTCTGATGAATAGCACAGAAGTTAAATTTAGTGAAAATAGATAGGTTTTACTAGTTATAGTAGAGTTCAACATAATTCATTAAACATCTTAAACTACTAAAAAAATCGGAAAATATAACATAAGGAAAGCATTTAGTTTCTATTGTTCTGCAGTATTAAAGCCTATGTTAAATCATAAAATATAAAATATTGAGTAACATAGACATTATCCATGTTCTTGTCTAGTGTACACAACAGGATAATATAGGGAGGCAGTAATTACAAAACATAAACATGAACATAGTTTGATCATCATCAGGGCAAAACAATGTTAAAAAATGTTGGGTGTTACTTGCTATGTGGCTGACACCATGAGTCGCTACTTCAAGGGAAACTATCAAAACTCTAGATGCCTAGGACGTCACTGGGTAAAATATCATATTTGAGTCTATAAATTTTGTAAAACTGCCATTTGCCCTAAATGATTGTTCGACATCTTATAAGAAAAACATAGAAAATATCATAAAATACATATACTAGAAAGTAAAAAAAAAAGCTATTTATTTCCATTTTTTTTAAATGCACAATATACATGTTGAAAGCATTTTATGTTGGTTCACAGAAATACATTTCATAAGAATACTAAGTTTGGAAAAGTGCCACTCATCTTGTATGTGGCCTACTATTGATGTTCTATTAGATTTGCTCAGTGATGGTCATGGTCTACTCTGTTTCTCTCTCCTATAAGCGGAAATGATGCAAATGTAAATGAGATGACATAAATGCATGATATATAAGCATGGTAGATTCCTTAAGTTACGTAGTTAACTAGTTGTTTCCCTTTCTTAACTTTTGTAAGATTTCCTCCTCTTTAACTGTACTACATCTTAGTCATGTTAAACACTCCTCTTAAGCAATTTCTATTTACATCAAAAGTTGGTCTTTTAAACTTAACCTTTCATGAATAAAATTTCAGCTCGCTCTATCCCTTTCATTAAATTGGTATACTTAGTTGTATCTTAAAATTTGTCCCTTTTCTAACTATTATTTTCCCATTTCCTAAGAACCATGCTCTTGCCCCTTCATTTGCTTTGACCATGGTTAAGTTTCAACTCTTAAGTGTCCCTTGGATGCTCAAAAGTTATTCCTCAAATCTCTTAAGTTGTAGAAAATTTCAACGCTCATATATATGGAAGTTAGTTTTAAGTTTAACTTGCATTTAGCCTTCACTTCTTCCTAGCCTTGTAACTACCAGTCTCTATTTGGTCTTCAATTTAGCCTCATTTCGTGCCTCCTTTAGGAGGTTACAACTCCTCCAAAATCGTTTTCCTAAATCAGAATTTTCTATCCAAATTTTTCTACATACATATCACAACTTCCTTAATTATGCATATCTTGGTTTTGGGCTTATTTTGGGACTTTTCTAGCTTCTCCTTGCTAAGTTAGTTTACCCATCTCTTAAACCACTTAGTTGTCTTGGTCTATAGCTTATTTTTGCCCTTTAATATTTTGGCCAAGTGAAGTAAGGTTGTAGAATTTTCTACTCCTAATTTTCTACACATCATCCAGTACTTTTTTAGCCAAGTTTAGCTTAGTTTTGAGTCAAAATTTTGGATTTTTCCTAACTTTTCTTCCTAAATTGACTTAACTATCCCTTTAGCTACTTATTAATCTTGAATTGAAGCCCATTAAGCTCCCAAAAGTTTCAGCCAACGAAATGGGAGGTCACAAAAAATTTTTGTTTTCCATTGAACTCTTCACAAATTTAAGTTTAAGCTTGTTTTCCTTAGCATACTTTGTATTAACCTTTTCCTTTTCCATTCCAACATAGTCTCTCCTATTTTCCTCTGTTTTCAACATCATGAACATTCCCCAAAGTCTACAATTGAACCATGAAAGTGCATAATTTTACAAGCACAACAAGATTTTAAACTAGTTTTATCAAAATCTTTGAAGTTCTGCAACTTCTTCTTCCTACCCCTAGGTTCGACTCTCCCTTGTTCTAGCACCTAAATCTATCTCAAATCTAGATTCTAAACTGGTTGCGTAGTGTAGAATTGAAAGCAAGTTCAAGTTATACAAAAATCTCAAGCAAAATCACAAGAATTTCTGGAAAATTCCATGGTTCTTACCTTTTTCTTTCTATTTCTTCTTTCTTCTTCTTTCCCTCTTCTCTTCTCTTCTCTTCTCTTCTCATTCCTTGTGCACCACCTCTAGAGCCTTCTAAGGCTTATATATATCTCCTTTAAATAGGTGCCCCTCACCTACTTAATGAAAAGATCAATTGCCCCTTTATT